CTAGATCCCACCTCTCAAAGGGAGGAGGGGCAAACAATTTGCCACAAATCCCATTTAACCTACCACAGAAACCTTTCAGATCATGTTTCAGCCTAGGCTTAACTATTTCCTGTGATGAAGAGTTCCACACAGCAAAAGGGCAGTGCACTTACAGCCAGAGCGAACAGAAAATACCTCCGCTCATGAACCTGGACCATTCAACTGCACAGTGCTTGTTCTAATGTTGTTAACACTGCCCTAATGAGCTTCTCCAAGGCATTTCTGAGGCTCTTCAAAATGAAGACATACCAAATCAGGATCACTATTTCTAATAAAGTTTAAACATTCACATTTAGCAAATTAATATTTGAACCAAAACAAACACATAATAGTCATAACCTTCCTTGGCAATAACATCCACAGCCTGTGGTTGAGACCCTCAGTGAACCTGAGAGTCTGGCCAGATGGCCCTAGTGATCCTTCGTGAGCCCCAGCATAGAATATCCCACAATTTCTCACCCACTCTGTCACTGAGGTTCTCAAGGAGACCACTGAGCAGAAAACCTCCACGCATACCTTAATCCCTTCATGATCTCCTCGTGAGCTGAGCCCCAGGACTCCAGCTCCACAGAGCCACTCTTCCAGTATTTGGAGCTCAGCCCCCATCTGGGGAAGAGGAAGGCCAGAAATTAGAGCAGGTGCTCTCATGGTTAGGAAAGAGATAAAAATAATTGCTTTTCTTCCCCAGCAGACTTAAATAATCATATGCAAAACCCAGCGACATAAACTAAGTATCTCTCCACTGTGGGTTGGATTTGAAATACTATCATGGAGTTATTGTTCATTTCAATAGGTATGATAATGACTTTTGTGGCTGTGGAGGGAAATGTCCTTCTTCATAGGAGATGCATGTTGAACTTCTTAGGTTTTGATCAGGAATCTGCAAACTAAGGCTCCCAGGGCTGGAGTGCAGTGGCTCAGTCTCCACTCACTGCAACCTCTGCCTCCCGGGTTCAAGCGATTCTCCTGCCTCAGCCTCATGAGTAGCTGGGATTACAGGCCTGGCTAATTTTTGTATTTTTACTATTTTGTATTTTTAGTAGTTTCACCATGTCAGCTCCTGACCTCAAGTGATCCACCCGCTTCAGCCTCCCAAAGTGCTGGGATTACAGGTGTGAGCCACCGTGCCCAGCCCACATCCTTTTGTTTCTATATTGTCGGTAGCTGCTATTGTGCTACAACAGCAGAGTTGAGTAGTTGTGTGACAGAGACAGCTGGCTCCCAAAGCCTAAAATATTTACTATCTGGGCCTTCACAGAAAATAGTTTGCCAACCCCTGGGTTAGAGTATCATCATCCATGACTTCCATTAAAATTGTTTAGTAAAACAATAGCAACAACAAAGTGTATATGAGTGTGAGTATATAAATATTCTCCATTTAAATTCACTAATTATTAACATTTTACCACATTTGCCCGAGAGAGAAGGCAAATGTGTTAAAATGTTAATATTGGAGAATTTAAACGGAGAATATGTGAGTATTCATTTTATTTTTTCTTTCAACTTTTCTTCATGTTTGAAATTTTAAAAAAATAAAATGTGTGGAGGGTAAATACTGTTTCCAAATACTGTTTTCCACATTATACTCCATTTAAAAAACTCACAAGAGGCCGGGTGCGGTGGCTCAAGCCTGTAATCCCAGCACTTTGGGAGGCCGAGATGGGCGGATCGCGAGGTCAGGAGATCGAGACCATCCTGGCTAACACGGTGAAACCCCGTCTCTACTAAAAAATACAAAAAACTAGCCGGGCGAGGTGGCGGGCACCTATAGTCCCAGCTACTCGGGAGGCTGAGGCAGGAGAATGGCATAAACCCGGGAGGCAGAGCTTGCAGTGAGCTGAGATCCGGCCACTGCACTCCAGCCTGGGCGACAGAACGAGACTCCGTCTCAAAAAAAAAAAAAAAACAAAACAAAACTCACAAGAGGCCAGGCACGGTGGCTTATGCCTGTAATCCCAGTACTTTGGGAGGCCAAGGTAGGTGGATCACTTGGGGTCTGGAGTTCAAGACCAGCCTGACCAATATGGTGAAAGCCCATCTCTACTAAAGATACAAAAATTAACTGGGCGTGGTGGTGGGTGCCTGCAATCCCAGCTACTTGAGAGGCTGAGGCAGGAGAATCACTTGAACCGGAGAGGTGGAGGTTGCAGCGAGCCGAGATTGCACTACTGCACTCCAGCTTGGGCGACAAGAGCGAAACTCCATCTCAAACAAATTAATTAATTAATTAATAATAAAAACTCAGGAAAATCTGCTAAAAAATTTACAACTCATGGGAAAATTAAACAAGGAGAATAATAACACTCATGGTGGATCACTAGGGCCATCTGGCCAGACTCTCAGGTTCACTGAGGGTCTCAACCACAGGCTGTGGATCCAAATATATAACTAGCAAGTGCAATAGGTTTAAAAATAATGGGTACAATCTCATTCACAATGGCAACAACGAACATTAAACCTAAAATTTAACTAAAAAAGAAATGTATAGCTAGGCGTGGTGGCTCACACCTATAATCCCAGCACTTTGGGAGGCCAAGGTAGGTGGTTGGCTTGAGCTCAGGAGTTCAAGACCAGCTGGGCAACATGGTGAAATCCTGTCTCTACAAAAAACACAAAAAATAGTTGAGTGTGATGGTGGTGCATGCCTGCAGTTCCAGCTACTTGGGAGGCTGAGGTGAGAGGATCACTTGAGCCCAGACAGGGGTTACAGTGAGCTGAGATTGTGCCACTGCACTCCAGCCTGGGCAACAGAGTGAGACCCTATCTCAAAGAAAAATAGCATTTAAAAAAAATAAATTTTACCAAGGTCCAAAAAGTAGAAGCATATGGGTATATAGATAAAAGTTATTGAAAAAGTTTGGGATTAGGTGGTCAGCACCTTTAAAGATGTTTTAAAAAATTAGCAAAGACAAAAAGAAGCTTTGAATAACATATCATACTTCTGAACAAGAAGATTCAATGATTCAGTAGTGTAAAAATGTCCATTTTTCACAAAGACAGCTATAAATTGATGCAATTCTAATGAAAGTCACCGAGGTCTTTGTTGTTAAGAGGGTGGGAGATAATGACAAAATAATTCAAGTTTCCCTGGCAGAAAAAAAAAAAAATGGGTGAGATTAGCCAAGGACATTTTGGAAATGAAGAGTAATGGTAGGGTTCTTACCTTAACAGATGTTAAAATTTATTTTAAAGCTACAAGAATTAAGCAATTAAGTCTGGCTCAGGAATAATAAATCAGAGAAGAAAAATCCACAAAAAGGCCCACAAGTAAGTAAAAAGTAAGAATCCAATCAAGGCAGCAAGTCAAATGAGAAGGGAAAAGACAGATTACATAATAAATAATATGGGAACTACTGGCTCACCATTTGGAAGAAAATAAAGTAAGAGCCCTCTATTACAATACCCTCCAAAGCGAAGGAAAACTAGTTGGAGAGAAATAAAATCAGGAAAGACATATAAACAATGTAGATTTTTAAAAGCTTGTGATGTCACAGATCCTTCTAAGCATGAAGCAAATAATGAAAAAAAACTAGACTGATAGATTTAGCCAATTAAAAGTTTAATCCTATGTACATCTGAAAATACTGAAACCAAATTTAAGAAAAAAACAACGCTGATAAAAATATTTGCAACATACATGATTTGAAAAGGCCAACGTTGGCCAGGCATGGTGGCTCATGCCTGTAATCCCAGCACTTTGGGAGGCCGAGGCAGGCAGATCACAAGGTCAGGAGTTCGAGAACAGCCTGGCCAACCTGGTGAAATCCCATCTCTACTAAAAATACAAAAATTAGCCGGGAGTGGTGGCGCACGCCTGTGCTCCCAGTTACTCGGGAGGCTGAGGCAGAAGAATCGCTTGAAACCGGGAGGCAGAGGTTGCAGTGAGCCAAGATTGTGCCATTGCACTCCAGCCCGGGCAACAAAGCGAGACTCCGTCTCAAAAAAAAAAAAAAAAAGAAGAAAGAAAGAAAGAAAAGAAAAGGCCAATGTCCTCACTATCTAATTAGTATGGGGGCAAAACAAAGTTTTAAAATTTTTTAAATGGGAAAATGCCATGAGTATATTGACAGCTGCATGACTCTGCACACAGGTAACAACTCCATCAAACTCTGGCCATGGCTTCTAGCAGTATAAGGTCATGTCCCTAGGATGACTCTAGACCTCCATTAAAAAACTCAATGTTGACCGGGGCGTGGTGGCTCACGCCTGTAATCCAGCACTTTGGGAGGCTGAGGTGGGTGGATCATGAGGTCAGGAGATCGAGACCATCCTGGCTAACACGGTGAAACCCCGTCTCTACTAAAAATACAAAAAATTATCTGGGTGTGGTTGCGGGCGCCTGTAGTCCCAGCTACTGGGGAGGCTGAGGTGGGAGAATGGCGTGAACCTGGTAGGCGGAGCTTGCAGTGCTGCAAGCGGAGATAGGGCCACTGCACTCCAGCCTGGGCGACAGAACGAGACTCCGTCTCAAAAAAAAAACAAAAAAGCTCAATGTTACCAGAAAACCTACTATTTGTTCTAACCAGCACCTGTCAATAGACCAATAACTCCTTATCCTAGACCACAAAATGTGACTATATCATCTCCTTGAATCCTCATAAATATTTCCAGAAGAGTGTTATTATTACCTGAATATTACAAACAAGGCCTCATTTCTGGACCAGTGGTTTGGGATGCAAAAGTCCCCAGTTCTGATCCTGACTCTATCCCTAACCACTACTACCTGTGAACTTGGCCAAGTCTCTGCTGTCTGACCCTCAGTTTCCTCATCTGTAAAATAAGAAGTGGATTGGCCCAAATGGTGTGTCAATGTCCTTCCTGCTCAGACATGACAGATTTCTATTCTCATAAAGCACCCAGTACCAACCAATGGCCAAGGATTGATCCAAACCAGAGGCCAGTCCCAGTGGTCTCAGGGCTAATCAGTTGGCCGCACACTGGGGCCCTATGCGCTGGCCCACCTTGAATTCCTCCTGGATGCGTTCCTCCAAGACTTTGGCTGCCTTGCGGTCTTCCATCTCCACCTTCCACTTCTCTGCCAAGATTCGGGCTTTCTCGTTGGCCAGAGCATCCCGAAACTTCTTGGTGATCTCTGCCTCCTTCTGTCTCCTACCAAGAGAGCACCACAGGTATAAGCTTGTGTGAAAAACTGAAGGACCACATGACAATAGAACTTGAAATAAAAACAATGAGCAATTTTTCCTTGATCTATCAGAATCCAATGTTGGCAAAGACGGGGAGAAACAGGCAGTCTCAAGCATGGGAGTGTAAATCGGCACAATTGTTCTGGAAGCCAGGAAAACTATGCTAGAAACCCCGTTTCCTAGATTTTCTACACTCACACAAGTGTACAAGGATGCATGTAGGTCAGGCATGGTGGTGCGTGCCTGTAATCCCAACATTTTGGGAGGCAGTGGCAGGAGGATTGCTTGAAGCCAGTTCAAGCCCAGCCTGGGCAACATAGTGAGACACCATCTCTACTAAAAATTTTAAAAATTAGCCATGTCTGGTGGCATGCACCTGTGTCCCAGATACTCAGGAGGCTGAGGAGGGAGGATCACTTGAGCCCAGGAGATCAAGGTTGCAGTGAGCCTTGATCATGACACTGCACTCCAACCTGGGAAACAAAGTGAGACCCTGTCTCAAAAAAACAAAACAAAATGATAAATAAATAATAAATTTATAATAAAACAAAGATGCATGTAAAAGATGCTTGCCAGAGGATTTTTATAATATAAAAAATGGTAAACAATCCAAATGTCCATCAATAAGATCAATAAGTTGGGTTTCTCATATCATATAATAAATACCTGTACCATATAGTAATCTTAAGTTGCATTTTGGATCTATAAGTCAATTTGTCAAGGTGTGAATAAAACAATTTACAAAGCATGTATTAACTAAACATTCACTGTGGTTACCTTAGGGGGTGGGTGTGAATTGTTCTTTATTTTGTATAGTTTTCAGTGTTGTTTACATGATTTTAGAATTTCTCAATTAAAATACCATCATTAAGACCAGGCGCAGTGGCTCACGCCTGTAATCCCAGCACTTTGGGAGGCCAAGGCGGGTGGATCACCTGAGGTCAGGAGTTTGAGACCAGCCTGGCCAACATGATGAAACTCTGTCTCTACTAAAAATACAAGAATTAGCCGTGTATGGGGCTAAGCATAGCTTCCATGCCCAGGCCCCACCCAACACCCCATAGCACCCCTCACCAGAGCTCCTCAGCTTCCCTCTGTGCCTGCAGCCGCGCCCTCTCTGCAATCAGCTCCTCAGAGATCGCTTCGTAGGGCTTGTCACCAGGGCCTTCTCCCATGATCCAGACCCAGACCTCGCCATCTGCCCCTAGGAGCCATTGGATGTGCTTGTCACTTGCTGCTTCACAATAGAAGGAAGAAGAAACAGGTTTGATTTCCAATCAGTAAGGAATGACCTAAGCTGCCGAGTGGTATACAACCATCACATCACACTACAGAACACTGTCATCTACAAAAAGAATGCCAGTGAGACACTGGCCTGCTGGCAGGTCCAGAACCATCTCCCACTCCCTATTCCTCTAGAGAGAAATGCAACAGCCACACCAGCCTACAGGGGTGGGCGTCTAAGACTGAGCTCTCTTTCTATCTCCAGCAGAGAGAATGTACAGTGAAAAGGAGGCCGAGGATGACTAGCTCCAGTTTACTCCTAACCTCCCGGCCCTGGCAGTGATATCTTTTAGGTTAACTGCTTTTGCTTACCTCCGCACATAGGCCGAGCTAACAATGGGAGGAATTTAGTGTATAGTTTAAAGCATGGATGATAATAGCCTCTCCCCAAAACGAAGCCCTCAGGAGACAAAGAGGGTGTACACACAAGTAACAATGTCATGTTAAAAATGTATAGGAGCATTGTGACCTGACTAAGCATAAAGAAGTTTACCCTCGCTGCCACCAAGATGTCCACAGTCATTACTCATCCTTCTATCTTAACCCCCCACCTCTTCCCCCTTCCCTTAACATAAAAGAAACCCAAACTTCATATTAGCTTAGGAGGTTCTTTAGGACACTAGTTGCCATCTTCTCGGTTTGCTGGGTCTCCGAAATAAAGTTGCTTTCCTTGCCCCACACCTTGTCTCTCAACTTATTGGCTGTTGTGTTGTGAGCAGTACAAGCTTTGGACTTTGCTACAAGAACATCAAGGGACATTGCAGCACTCTCTCAGGGAAGAAACTTGTGTCACTCCCTGGTCAAGGCAGTTAGGAGATAGTGGGCCCGCTCTGCAGTCTCTCCTTCATGTCCACTGGCTAGAAACAAGGAATCAGGTGGTGGAGTGAGATGACGCAGCCTGGGGCCCTGAGTCTCCCTGGCCCACAACAGACTGTAACACTAGCAAGAAATAAGCATGTGTTAAATTCAGCCACTGAGATTTCTCAGTTTGCCTATTGCAGCAGATTCCACTGATTACAGGACTAAAACGAAAATGTATCCCAGAAGCAGGGTGCTGCTGAAACAGAAATATAAACTGTGTTGCTGCCTTAGCAGTTGGGTGGTGAGTGATATTTAACAGGCTAGAGATCCATGTTATGCAGCAGCAAAACATTCAGTTAAAAAGCTAGACACTATAACTTCAAAGGCAGACGCCATGCTTTCTGAACTTTTCATTCTAAGGGAGGAGGTTGAAAAATAGAACATGAGGAATAAGTGTTGGTTGCTAGTGACTGTGTTTGGCAAGATGTTAAGAGAAAGAAACGAATTCAAGAAAGAACTGAGTGCTTTGCAAGCTGAAATGAAAAGGGAATAGAGCAAATACAGAAATTTGAGATGTTGTAGGATTGGAAAAAGCATCTCATCATATAGCAGGACCCACATTGCAAGAGATGGAATTTTTAAAGGTTTTGCACAGGAAAATTCTAAAGTGAATAAAGTGATGAAGGGCACATAGCACCTGCAGGTCAGGCTCTGTGAAGTTCTTGTGGTGACCATGAGGATGTGCTCCGTCCACCTTCAACCACAGGGAGCATCACTGACTAAGCCCCGCAACTCCTGTGCCCTTGCGTTTACCCAAGGCCCTGCTTCCCAGAGGCTGCTCAGCCTTTTATTGAAGATGCCAGGCTCATTCCCAGGAGACGCCCACCTCCTTGCCAAAAGATCGCTTTCCCTGGACTGCACAACCACCTATAACACCTCCACCCACCGTCCCTTGCCCTCTCCTTCACTCAAGGTCAAGCTTGCAATGATTCCCTCAGCCTCCTCCAGTTCCCTGCCCTTTTTCTCTCCCAGACATTTCCCTTAATAAAACCTTGTATGATTAATCCCATCCTGTCTCTACTCCTCGGAGAAACCAGACTGACACAGCCACATTAAGAATGTGATCTCTCATTGCACCACTGCACTCCAGCCTGGGCAACAGAGCGAGACTCTGTCTGAAAAAAAAAAAAAAAAGTGTGATCTCTCACACTTATTTTTAGAAAAAGCTTCAAGGAAGATGTCCTTCAGGTGAAACTGAGAGGCACAAAGGTGAAGGGGCAAAGGAAGAACGTCAAGTTGAGAAATATGTCTAGAAAAGAATTTTAGATGCCGTTACTGGGACATGGAAGCAAACAGAAGCCACCTAAGTTTTTGAGCCTGGATTAAAAAATCTTTGGTTGTTCATGTCTTAAATGGCCCTTGGGCATCCAAGTCTGATGACCAGCAGGCAGGTTTCAAAGGCTTCACTGGTCTAGAGGATGTGATCCTCAACACTCACTTCAGAGGAGGCCAAGGGGAATTATAAACAAAAAGCCTCATCCAGGCTGGAGTCAATGTTCACTCAAGGAGTTATCTTCACTGCAAGGCAGGGAAACTTCATGGTCCTGACCTGTAAGACTTCAGAAATGCTACAGACTGGAGACTGTGACTTTCACGTTCTCCACTTCTCCAGGTGGCATTTCCTTAGTGGGTATTCTGATCCTGCTCCAATACTGTGTACAGTGCCTTAGGGGGGACAGGTGTTTAAATGATGTCTCCTCAGCACATTCAGACCTGATGGAGATGAGTGCAGAACCCCAGAGACAGTGGACTTTGAGCTGGATGCAGTGACTGGCTGGGACCTGAAGGCGTCCCCTGTAAGAGGTGGTGAGTGTATTTTAGAGGCAGGAGAAGAATGAAATGTGTGGATGGCCAGAATGACAATTTAGGACAGTGACAATGCAAGGTCCACCACCCCATGTCTCTTCCTCAGCCCACAGATGACTGACTACATTCCTCAGCTTCCCTTCAGTTCTGTGGGGCCACGTGATTGAATTCTAGTCTACGGAATGTCAGGGAAGGGATTTGTTGTGCCATTTTCAGGCTAAGACAGTTAGCAGCTGGTGTGTCTTCTCCACATTTTCACTCTTGTCCACCCAGCTGGAAATAAATGGTGGAATTTCAAGGAAAAAAGCAGCCTGATCCATGAGCCAATGTTTGAAAGCAAGTTACACAGAAGAAATACCCAACCCACATCAAACCGTGAAATAGTTAAGTAATAAACCTTCATCATATTAATCTACTGAAATTTCAGGCTTTTCTATATGCGCATGGCAGCAGTAATTCTCCAGATATATAGAGGAGTACATTGCTATTTTTAAGTATGTTACAAGCAATATAGTAGCAAAGAAACAGCGATTTAATTGTGACTGATAGAAACAGAGAGGCAATCACTACTTAGAATTATAAAACTTTCAAATTAATAGTGGGTAAAAATAAATGATAAGAGGATTACCAATCCTGCTAAGCAAGGGGAAAAGGTAAAGCAACAAAAAATGGGTAGCTATTACAGCAGATACTGCCAATTAACTACCCACCCTCCATGCTTGCCTCACCACAGAACCCCAAGTGGTTCAGGGAGCAGCAGAGATCCCCCCCTATTTTAGGAAAAGTGAGTTTTGACCCCAGCCTCAAAGGACAAATAACAATTGATCTGGCAGGGCACAGTGGCTCACGCCTGTAAACCCAGCACTTTGGGAGGCCAAAATGGGCAGATCACCTGAGGTTAGGAGTTCGAGACCAGCTTGGCCAATATGATGAAACCCCATCTCTACTAAAACTACAAAAATTAGCTGGGCATGGTGGCACATGCCTGTAATCCCAGCTACTTGGGCTGAGCTGGGAGAATCGCTTCAACCTAGGAGGCAGAGGTTGCAGTGAGCCAAGATCATGCCACTGCACTCCGGCCTGGGTGATAGAGTGAGACTCCATCTCAAAAAAAAAAAAATTGATCTAATCCCATCAGGTAATATTATTCTCATTGGCAAGTGATTCATCTATGAGTGACAAGATGTCCCCATTTCTGACAAAGATATAAGCAGATGTTCCAGTGAAGGGTTCTTCTTCTCCAAACAAATGGATAAGTCTTAGGAGAAACCTCTTTACTCTTCACTCTTTTTTTTTTTGTTTTTTTTTTGGGGATTTTTTGCTTTTTTTTTTAGACGGAGCCTGGTTCTGTCACCCAGGCTGGAGTACCAGTGGCATGATCTTGGCTTACTGCAACCTCTGCCTCCCAGGTTCACGCCATTCTCCTACCTCAGCCTCCCGAGCAGCTGGGACTACAGGTGCCACTACCAGGCTGGGCTAATTTTTTTGTATTTTTAGTAGACACAGGGTTTCACCGTGTTAGCCAGGATGGTCTTGATCTCTTGACATTGTGATTCACCCGCCTCGGCCTCCCAAAGTGCTAGGATTACAGGCATGAGCCACCGCGCCCGGCCCACTCTTCATTCTTTTACCCCACCTTCTTCTTCCTGCCGGTAATGAAGCAATGGTTCCTGGAGCCCCTGGAAAACTTTTGCAACCCTGAGGATAAAAGCAACATACTGGTGACAGAGCGAGACTCCGTCTCAAAAAAAAAAAAAAAAAAAAAAAAAAGCAACATGCTAAGGATGGGGAGGCAAAAGGTAGAAGGGAAGAGATACTTCGTGATCTTATCGAGCAGCTAAACTAATATTACCCATTGCAGCACATCTCATCTCCAGATTTCTTGTCATCTGAGAGAAATAAGGAACTTTAAGAAATAAAGTTCTTCAGTTGGGCGTGGTGGTGCATGCCTCTAGTCCCAGCTAGTAGGGAGGGTGAAGCAGGAAGATGCCCTGAGCCCAGGAGCTGGAGACTGCAGTGAGCTGTAATTGCACCACTGCACTCACTCCAGCCTGGGTAAGAGGGCAAGAACATGTCTCTTTAAAAGAAAAAAAAAAGGAAAAGAAATAAAGTTCTTCATGGAGATAGAGGATAGAATGATGCTTACCAGAGGCTGGGAAGGGTAGTAGGGCTGGGGGTGGGAGTAGTGGAATGGTTAATGGGTACAAAAATATAGTTAGATAGTGTGAAAGTAAACTAAAAATGGTCTGAGAAGGACTCTGTTGCTCTCTATTTGAGTCCTTG